ATTTTCTTTTGCATATCCATCCTGTGGGTCTTGTAAAGTTGTGCTTTTTATCCCATCATACACCATTGAACCACTGAACCATTGAGTCACCTCAGGTGTCTCAGCAAAAGTATGCAGTCCCCTGCATACATTCCACTTCGGCGCAAAAATTCCGTGTCTGCAACTCTGTCGCCCCACCCGATGCGTAGAATCCGTCGCAAACACTGCTGTTTAAACCGCTCGAGATATCGCACATCCCGACGGTACATCGTCCACGTTTCACTGCCGGATGGAAGAACAGACAGCACCATGGATATGTACACCATCAGCTTCGTTCCAATGGTAGGCTGATGGTTGTTCCACACTCGGTACTCAAGCTTCCCGAATGCCGCCGCTGCAGCCTTCGACAAGCGAATACGCAGCTCACTGTGTGGCTGCTGATCTGTCGACATCACACTCCCGAGGTAGCAGAAGCGGGAGGTGGTTTCCAATACTTCAGCACCAATGCTGATTCGCGGCAATATTGAAGATTGTACCTGCAGTGAAGGTTGAAAGAGGCAGACAGTTTCGCTTGTGTTGATGGTGAGCCCGAATTTGGCCGCTGTCGAAGTCAGAGCACTAGTCATGTGTTGTAACTCATCCGCGCTGTGTACCAACAAGGCACAGTCGTCAGCAAACAGCACCATACGGATAGATGTCTCACAGACTAGAGTTATTGCACCGAAACGACAGATGTTCAACAACCCGCTATCAATAAGATTCTCCACACGAACACCGTAAGCATAAGCGGCATCAGAAGCGCAAGATATCATTGCATGAAGATATATATTAAACAGGGCAGGAGCTAAGACACAGCCTTGCTTCACACCAGAGACAACTGCAAAGTCATCCGAGGTCTCTCCACTCAGCTGCACCCTTGCTCGCATACCAATGTGCAGACATTCAATTAAACTTACAAACTTACGCGTGCAACCAAATTTACCCAACACCAACCATAATGCCTCGCGGTTCATCGTATCACATGTTTTGGTGCAATCAACTAAAAGCGAGTACAATGGCTGGTGTCGTTCTCTGCACTTCTCTTGCAACTGACGAGCCGCAAACACCATATCTATAGTGCTGCGACCCGAACGGAATCCACATTGCTCTTCCGCCATGTTAGGTTACACAACCTGACTGACGAAGCGGTTGAGCAGGATTCGGGCAATCACCTTGCCCACACAACTCAGCAAGTTGATGCCACGATAATTCGTGCAACATTGCTTGCTACCTTTGCCCTTGTACAGTGGTAGCATAAGGGCATCCTTCAGCTCAGCAGGCACCTCCTCTTCAATCCATACACGTTGCACCAAGTGGTGCAGCGCAGTCAACAACGCGGGTCCACCGTGTTTCAATACTTTAGGCGTGATCCCGTCGGCTCCGTCACATTGCCGTTTCGCAGCTGAGCAAGTGCTCTCTGCGTCTCATCCAGTGTCAGCGTATCCGCCAGATCCGCCTTCACATCGTGCTGCATCAGGCCGTTCAATGTAGGCCAGTCGATCACTAAATGGTTGTTCAAGAGACAGTCAAGGTGATTTCGCCAGATCTGCATTATTTCTGCAGTCTGGGTGCAGGTAGCGCCTGAACTACCATCGATCAAGGTCCTCAGCAGCTCCAATCTCGGTCCACACACCGCTTTCAAGGAGGCAAAGAATTCCTTGTGTTGGCAGCGTTCGGCGTAGCATTCCATCTGCTTCGCCTTCTCCGTCCACCATGCATTTTTAATGCGACGGAGCTCTCGGGTCAGTCGCCGTCAAATTCACCATGAAATTTTCTCTTCTTTCCCAAGTTACTGGGGTCTGCCACATGTGCAGCAAATGCTGCATTCTTCCCCGACACCAATGCGCCAATCGTCGCATTGTTGTCATCAAACCAATCAGGCCGCTTACAGTTTGCGCGCCCGATGGTCTCCTCGGCAGCAGCTGTCACCTGGTTGCGAATGTGATGCCACAGGTCGCCCACTGTGGCTATGCAGTCCACATCACACAGCCGTGCAACCATCGCCTTCTCCAGCTCAATACGTTTCGCCACTGCCGAGGGAGAGAATGTTAAATTCACGCCGATTCACGGCGGGAGTGTAAGACATAGATTTACGAAAACATATGTGAAATTTGGTGAGCACCAATTTATGAGCAATGCCACACTCAGCTCCACGCAATACACGTGTCATGCGCACTTCACGCATATCACGCTGACGTACGATGACATAGTCGAGCAGGTGAGCGTGACCACTCCGTGGGTGCGTCCAAGTTGCTATATCACTCGCACTCAGTGCAAACCGAGTGTTCGTGATCGTCAGGCCGTGAGTGGTACACAGTGAGAGCAGCCTGTCACAGTTGGCATGCGCTGAACCAATGCCATGCAAACCGATAACATCTGTCCATAGCCATGCATCAAGCCCAACGAGCGCGCTGTAATCACCCAGTAGAAATAGTCGGTCACTCCTGGGCACAGACGGTATCATGGTTGATAGCTCAGTGTAGAATTGATCACGCGTGTCATCAGGATAACACATGGTCGGACCGTACGTGCTTATAAAAGGGGCAAATTTACCTCTTCCGAGTCGTAGGCGAACAGTCATCAGTCGGTCGCTGATGACTGTTGGTTCATCTGCGAGCTGGCCATGGAGACGATCGGATAGTGCAAATCCGACCCTAGTAGAATATGTACCTTGCTCAGCGAACCGGGTTTCACTGAGCGCCGCAATATCGATGTTGTAGCGCGCCAGCTCCATCGCGTCCCTCCGGGCGCTCACTGGAGTTCCGGTCCAGTAGTGTGCGCACGTTCCAGCACCCGATGCTGAGTGCTTTACGCGGAGGCATACGATTGCATTGGTGGGCAATCGCACGCGATGTGGCGGCTGTGCTTTGTAGGTTTGCTTGAAGGACTCCACCCGGAGCCTTCGTCTCAATAGCTTGACGCACAAGGCAGTGGGCGGTTTGGAGGTTTGCTTGAGCGACTCCGTCCGGAGCCTTTGGCTCAACAGCCTGACCCACAAGGCAGTGGGGAGCGGATGCAGTTCGGGAATGTGATTGCAGAGACAGATTGGGATCTGCTTGGCTGCAGTCACAAGCAGCCTTTGAGATACTGGAACGATTTATATGTGTTTTGCGACCGTAGTAGGATACACCTGCGACCACGGCCAGATGTAGGTGGGTTTTGGCGGGTTTGCACCAATTTGACCAGGGGCCGTCTGGCTTAAGACGGACACTAGCAAACCAGTGAACACCCGGAGGTACCTTCCCACCGTCAGAGACAATGCGTGGCGCTCATGCTCTACGCCAATCGAGCTGTGAGCTTATAACCCGTAGACCTGTTATCTCCCATGGCTAGGTTTTACGGGAGGTGAGCCATCGACCACTTCCTAACCTCGGAAGAGGATGGACTAGGATACTGGCAGGGCGCCCACACCTGACAGGAGAACGATTCGGGTCCTCAGCCAAAGCCTTCGATCAAATGTACACCCGAAAGGCAGTGGGTCTTGCAAATAGTCAGTTCATTGACTCATGCGGATTGGTGTGCTGGATCTTAGCAGGGAGAAGGGCGCAACACAATTCCCACCCAGCGGTCGCCACGAGGAGGCGTCCAGGACATGAACCAGGGGCACAACAATAGCAGCAGTGAGTAGACCGTCCGTCAGAATCTAGCAACTACCAGCCTCAGCGCACCATAATCTCTATCGCCGATATAGATATATACATATACATAGACACTTACATATATAGTGTGCCCTATCCTGAGGTTGGTGTTGCATTTATTATGCTTTTTCACCGTAGTTTGGTTAGAGCGACTTATACCTACCATTGATCCGCAATGCACTAGCTTACTGATATATTCAATTTATATACGCTCAGCTTAGGTTATCTCCATCTGACGAGTACAACTCATGACGAAACCTGCCGGTCGTGCCGTGCAGTGTTTGGAGAGAACAGCTCCGGAAATCTCCATTTCAGTCGAACGACCCAACAATCAAAATGGCATAGGTTTTGCTTCAAAGCCTCAGTCGTGCTTGCGTGTCGCAATCCAGATGCACAGCGAGAGCAAAGCGAGAGACGAGTTAAAGTGCGGCCGCACGGTAGGGTGTCACAAGGATGTAGTCCTTACTTGCGTGTCGCAATCCAGATGCACGGCGAGTACTCTAGGACCAAATAATGTATTTCTAACCGATGTGTCAAGTGCTGCTGTGGAGCTCTAGCATAGCGGCCGAGACGAAAGCCGTCAACCACTGTGTAGGGTTCCCTTTTCATTTCGTGCTACCTCTGTCTGAGGAGTCCAAATCAAGGCGAAATTGGTCAGTCATAGAGTGCAGTGTCGGGAGAAAGCAGCTCCGAATATCTCCACTTCGGATGCGGTCCTAGTGATGGAAATGGCATAAGTTTGTTTCAGAGCAACCTGTAGCCCCAATTGAGATTGCTTATCGAAATCCAGACTCCAGACGAGTACTCCAAGACCAAATAATGTTAATCACCTGCACAGTCGCCGTTAACCTTGCGCAATTTTTCTCTGCTTTCGTTGATAAATCATTGATGTCCCCTGATACACACACCTGCTGAAATCACCATTACATTAGATCAAACTTAATTCCTATTTTATGTGTGTTCTTGACTGTCATCCTGCCACATAGTTAATATCCACATGCGTCCCATCCATATGCCTCCCGGTCTTTTTCCTTCCGGTTTACTCTGGATATGAGGTGTGTGGATGGAGCTGTGAGTGGTACAGCGCAAACCACTCATGGTCCCGCAGTAGACGCGCGCGTCCTGTGGCTGTCCTATGGAGTCCGCAGTAACAGACAAATCCGAAATAGCATGCAGTCATACATAGGTCGTTCAAGGTATAGGCATGAAGCAATCAAGATTAATGAAACCTAAAAGTTGATGCCATTTTCTCAAAATGAAGCAGAGCTCTTGTTGTCCCTTTTTTCGCCCACTCGGTTTCGCTAACTCCACACTTATAAATGAATATTTGCAATTTGTCTGCAGGCCCGGTTAGACCACGTCCAGTAGTGCAATGTGAGGTGGTGCTGATGAACGAACGTCTAACTCTTCGTCCGTCTTTGGAGGAAATACAAACGGCGATTCGAGCGATCATCGGGTGTTGCTTGACATGCACCAAGTACATCGGCAAGTGGAATGAGTCTAGTCAGCGGGCCGAACATTTGCTAACACCAGGACTCAGAGTGAGTGCTCGGTCACTTAGTCTTCACGAGATGGAATAGATTGTGCCTGGTACAGTGAAACGGAACCCTACAAAAGACTTGCGCAATTAGCGATCTTCAGTTGCAACTGAACGTTAACAATCTGTTTTTGTCCATTACATCGTTAAATACTAGGCTTCACGGCCGAATACTGAGCTTCCCGAGGATTCCGATCTTGAATTAGGTGCTAGATTGGAAAACCGGAATGATCAAACAAGCAGGTGGACGCGTGCATCTTGTATTGTCTTACGAGTACCTTTAGCAATGTATTACTATCAAATGGTCATAAAAAAGGCTGTGGTCTAGTACTGAATTCAACCAACGGGGCAGATAAGGCATGTTCGGTAGAACTCGTTACAAACAGCGCACTTTAACTTCACTCTCACTAGTACTAGGAGTATCAGGTGAGAGGGTAAGAAATGGTAGTCGAACCTGAAACATTTTCCTATTCTGTTAGAGGACTCACAACCGCTTCAACTACCCTCGTAAGCGACGATTGTTAGTGCGGCTGAGAATTTATTGCTTTTGAATAGCCCGATGTGTGTTTACATTGCGATAACCAATGACAATTTGGGTCACGGTACAATCTAAAAGTATGTCCCGCCTGTTCTGACTGGAGCCCAACTACAACTTTGCGACTTTGTCGGGAGAAAATAACGCACAACTATCTGCATACGTGTCTATGATTACTGATACCAGGAAGGCTTTCCAGCTAGCTGGTGGTTCCTAAAGCTCTGCTCGGATTGCACAGAATCCATAGATTCAGCGAATTGATTAGCCTCCGCGTTCATGTGTTCAAAATTGAACAACTATACGCATAACGAGATGACATCGCTCTAAAAGGCAGCTTGTCAAACAGTATTGAGGGAATCATCAAAAAGAGTATTCCTCTAAAATGGATGATTCCAATAATGCCCTTCACTCGACAGATCTCTTCTATCTTCATAAGACAGCTGTATGGGAATTTTGGTATGTCGCTACTTCCAGAAGGTAGCTTTAAGGAAATCCGAATTTGCTTATGAAACTACACCACAGAAGTTCTTGCTTATTGCTATATCCACACGAAAATTGTTGAAGTGATTGCGTGGAATACTGTAGGGGAAGAAGTCAAGTGTTACCGGCATCGCATGCGGGCCAGCAACCAATGTCAGCGGAACAGTCAGTCATACAAGTCAATTCCTTCCAGGTTTATCATAGACGGTAGGGCGAGAGCACACTTTGATTCGTGTGCACTTTGCCTGATGTTGGAAGGGAGGGTAGCGACGGAACTTAAATGCGAAAGTTCGCTTGTTGTGTTATGAAGAATCAAATCTGCCGTTGTGCGTTTACAATCAAGACGTGAATCAAACTTGGGATCATTTACAAAAATACTCACAGCCTCGTGGTAATGTAAAAGATAAAATATCGGCTATCTTAGTTTCAAAAGAGCCCGTTGGCTGTCGGTGGTTTTCGCAAATGGGGACACCGCGTGAGCAACGTGCGTGTTCGACACGTTGTTTACGCGACAGGAAAAGGAACGGAACCGCTCAGCACCGTGATTTCACGCACCAGACTCCGATGGCTCAGCCAAGGGTCAAGCATGCAAGCCCACCTGCTCCCAAGACGTGCGTTGCTTGCTCGCCAGGGGTGTGGATGGAAGAAGCGAAGAGGTGGCCAGGCGACGACTTGGTCGAGAGTAATGAAGGCCCTTATTTCGAAGCTGGCCTCGGTTGGAGCGTCACGGATCCTTGGTTGGGGTCCGAAAGACGATGAACACGTTTAGCTAGATACACTTGCTGATATGGCCAGGAGACGACCTCAGTAGCGTTCCTGTTGTTTTTTGTCCCTTCCCAACCCTTTTAGCTTCTCCTTCCAACCACGATGTTATTTCCTAGTTTAATATAATTTTGTATAATAATTTTTTGTCACCTATTAGCCGAGTGGTATCTTTCCGGAAAGATGCCCATCCGTTGCTGATAGTTCATCTGGTATGCAACTGTTGCATTTATGTTATTTTTTATCTTTTATCTATTGCAGAACAGGAGCTAAGGTTTATTACACCACTAGCTAACGTGTATAGTGATACTAATAATGCACGTGCTGATGAGTTAAACGTTCCAGCAAACGTTTCTTGTTATCTGTACTGCCATACTATGGCCGTGTCTGAGTTTCCTGAGTAGCTTCTTACTACTGAAAAGTTTTGTTATCCAGAACTTGGTTGCTAGCTCTCATGGTTTGCGATATGCTTTAATCACCCCACTGCCTCATGGGTGGATATTTTACCGGTTTGGTGGCAGCAACTTTCACACGCTTGCCTTTGCAATCCGGAGGTCACCGATCCCAACCTGCTTGGAGGACAGGGCCACTCTCGTCCAAGCGCGACTGATGATGGCTGCGCGCCAGCTAAGCGTCGGTACGGCGTACCGCCCTATTGTTGCCTCCTCTTTTTCCTCCTTTGCTGCCCAAGTCTTCGGGTTCAGTCCTCCTTAGTCAACCGTATTCTTCGGTTTAGGCAACCGGTTATTTCTATGCCCACACAGTATGTATATACTAATGAACCCACTAGGTCGTTTCCAAAGGTATATGCTGCTTTTTCACTGTCAAGTGAAGAAAAGTAGAGCAAATTTCCATGTCATCATAAAACAACATCAACCACTCAAGGTGTGTGAAGATGCCGATTGATTTTCCGCGTCTTAGCGAGCTAGTACGATTTAGCGTCTGCATTAAGGAATCTTCCCTCGTTTGACAGGATTTTCTGTTATCCTCGTGCTCATCGCCACATTAGCACCGTGAGTGAAATAACCATGTGATGTATGCGGCAGTTGTAGCTAATTGTTCATATATTCAATTGACTGCTGAACTGCAGGGGAAAACCTCCATACTATACAAAATTTGGATGGCTACCTGCTGGGTTCATAGCCTAGACAAAATTTTCGTACCATTTACCATCACTACTTTTACTCTCCGTTTACGCAGAACCTTATGGCGCGTTTGCCTGTGAGCCGCGTTTTACCGAATAAAATGAACTCTACTCCGGGAGAAGGCAGGAGAGAGGCATCAATGTACGACCGCCGTTCATTAGTGCTGATGCATTCGGCAACCACCTTCTTGAATACAGGGCGCCGAAAAACTTCCGATTCAACGCTAGATCGTTCCTCTCTCAATGATGCTAGCTCAGAACACAAACGTGTAAGTCGACTCCGATCCTTACTGCGCCATTTATTTTGCTGAATCTGGGTTTACCGCTGGTTATTCATTATGCATCCCGTCAAATAATTTCGGCGTTTACTATGTGGAACTGGGAAGTAACTGCAGGAGGATTTGGGGGCGGTAATGCCTTGTTCAATTTGTAACAAGATGGGTTTTTCAGTTGATCGGGCAAGTAGGAAGGTTACCTGGAATGATATTCGTGTCATCTGCGTTAAATCAATCACTGTACATAATCAGTGTTTAAGACGAAGCAATGTTCGATTCGTCTACGATGCTGCGGATGCTCGTGATAAATAGCGGAATGTCATCCAGGTAGTTGACTTCGAGCGGAGAGTACTTATCTGGTTTAACAGTCACTGGGGAGCTTAAAGGTTTGTGCTGATAAAAACTCGCGGGTGTCAGCTAGATCCCCATAAACGATTTATACTACTCCACTCAGTGAATGGACTGCATCAATCCAGATAACTTTGATCACAAAATAAACTAGCTAAAACGAACTGGTGATGCAATCATGTGTCCGGTTCACGGCAACAGGGTATACAACGTAAGGATCGCTAATCGTTTATTTTCGTTAGAAGATGGGGTGCCGCCATCGATTGCCACGGGCAGTCAGATGCTTTGTACACAATACGGAAAGCGTTCCCCACTTTCATTTGGGCCTGTTGCCGTACTGGTGCATTCCAGATGGATACTGATGATCTCATCTCTGAATGCATCAGCCGACAGAAATTGGCGTTTATCAACATTCAACTACTGTCATGCTTACTAGTTTCTTGTTTTCATTCTGTTTGGTTGAGTGTGAATAAAGTAAAGATAACAAGGAAAGGTTCCGCCAATTAGACCCTGAATTAGCCTTATCCTGTATTTGGAGCAGCGAGTTAACTAATTGAACGTGCAACTAATGTTGAACATGGAAGTTAAGTGAATGAAACCTGAAAATGTACACAAGTCCGCACCGATGGGTTATGAAGTACATTAAAATAGATGATTGATAGGTTTTTCGGTTAATTCGCTATCTGATTTGCGAACGCTAGGAACTCACTGACAAAGCATTGTCAAATCACGCTACGAAATCAATCAGCTGAGAAAGGTACTACGATGCAACGGGTTAACTATCTCAGGCTGATCTTTATGTATCACGTAGGCTGCTGTATTCAAATGCTTTGCGAAACACGATGGTTTATCAACTTTTTTGCTACCATGCAGATTCAACGACGTATGTCGGGTTGTATCGATCGACGAAGACTAACCACCTCCTACTCACATGTTTCGCTGTTAGTTCCCACCAACCAGACTGTAAATGAGGGTAGTGGGTGCTTACAAGACCTTTTATAACTGTATCTCTTAATATTTATTAACGAGTGTTGCTTTTTGTGATCTGTTTGTAGGGGCGACGGGCCACCGGTAAGTTATTCTTCTCAACAAATGATCCATGCGAATATTTTGGATTTAGGATCAGGAGAATCGGCAAAAGATTTTGATCCTCTTGATCTTATTGAACTGGAGGCCAACTGCTTTCAAGACGTGCGTCACGATCGAGAAGTATACCGTATGCAGACCATGCTTATCACTTGGCAAAACACCATGAAGCGTATCCTGTTCCTCCCCAGAGGTTAGCATGCATGTCTTCTGCATGATGTGCCTTGTTAACTCAAGCGGCACCACAGTGTCATCAGCAGTACAAGGTCTTCATATTCCATCCCCAAATACTACACTGTCGTGAGCATAATGTATCGCTTTTAGTGGGTAGTGGCTAGCATTAAAACTCTTTGCCGTCTTAGGGGGTCACCGTATGAACTTTACTGAGACGGTCGTTTGGAATGGGCGGTATTTTCACTGACGCCGAGAAGGCGTCAGTAACTTTCGAGAGGAGATAAGGCATTTGTGATCTAGTCACTTTAAACCTTACTTAGTCGAACTTCGAGGGGTTTGTCTAGAAAAACTAATACCATAGTACTGGGAAGGTTTCCAAGATATCGGCAGTGTGTCCAGTGCGCTGGATATTTGCAGCAGAGAGCAAGACTGGTTAGGTAGAAAAATGGAAGTTTTATTAACTTTTTGTTAGTTATTTTTGTGCGTAGGTGAGAGCGGCATCACTGAAGAGTGAACAATGATTGTATACGGGTTAAAAAGTACTGTTTCACAATCCCCGCTAGGTAATCCGGTGCGGTCATCGAAAACGTTGAGGAAAAACAGTAATTTTACTATCAAAATAAGGACTTATCTTTTGTACTGCTGTAGTCCTTCAATCCAGTAGTTTCAGAACAACAATAGGTACCATATAATGTCTAAGATATTTTTCAGGGATAAGATGGAGAGATAAAGCTGAATAAAAAGTAAGTGGTAGAGTGCGTCATCCAACCATCGTTTAAATATGTATAGTTCCGGTGCATAAAAGACTGTTTCGAGTGTGACATATGCGAGAAGAAATGAAATTTCTACAAAACTCCAAACGGATGTATCCTTCTGCTACTTTCAGTGAATTATCTTTCAGGTTCATGTCATAGCTGATTGTGCGAAATCAAGTAAGCTATTGTCATGTGACCTTGTAATCGGCGATGCCGTCCGCTGAATATCTTCAGTCGTTTTAGCCCCTGCTCGTATGGGAGATTTCACATTCCAATGACGGATTTGAAAATCCGGCATTGAGGCTCCACAATTGCAGTTAGGTCGCGTTTTAGCAACACAGGCCAAGCTTGAATTGCGTATTCGACATGGGAGCGAACATTCACACTGACCACCTGTCGGAAGATAGGTACGTCTATTTGTCGGAAAGCCAGTCGCAGCAGACCAACGTGTTGGTTACTAATTTTCGATGCTTTTTCGGATTGCATGGACACAACACAAATCATCGCGTACCAGCACGCTCAGATCGCTATAGCAAAACGTTTACTGCAGTACTAGCGCTTCTAGTCTGTGGCAATAGGTATTCTGGGGTTTTACGAGGAGTACCTTACATTTTCTCACCGTTAACTCCAGCAGATTTTGGGTTTAACACTGTTGTACCTTGACTAGGTCCCATTGAAGCAGATGGTATTCGACATTCACCTAAATTCTGCATCGTAGCTCTTGATATTGCTGGCTAAATAGTAGGAAACAGTAGGAATTAATAAATGCCAAAAGCAATTATTTCACTATAACAGAGCCCTGAGATAAATCACATTCGAATTGTACGGGGTCAGAAAAGGAGTTGCGAACTCTGACAATCAATTACCATTAAAGGAGAAAATTCGCTTTTTAACTCAAGCGAGAGGTGCATATTCAGTAGTAGTGTAGCTTGAAAAGTAGTATCTGAAGATCCTGATGACCCAGTGCCTTCACAAAATTCAGGTAAATCGCCTCATCGTCCTCTCCATAGTCAGCTGACCCCGTCCAACTACCCCTGAGATTAGTAAATTCGTTGTGCACAAGTGTTATCGGCAGCCAAACACCAACCCTTGGTACCTGTAGCTCAAATATCTCTTGTCGAGACTAAGCCTCCCAGGACATCGGTTACATATGCAGAGATTGCTGCAAGGGTCCACCGAGAGTCCGCCGTTGCGTCCTCTTCCATTGTAAACACCGTTAACGCAAATGGAGAGAAAAACAGCAAAAATCACTTGTCAACAAGTCAAGACAAATGAGTACCATAACTGGTACATCGATTAAAAAGGGATCCAACAACAGTGCCCGGACTGTTGTATGCTCAAATGTCCCTGAATCTACCGCCATCACATTGCGGGATAAGTTATCAGACGACCAAGACCAATGGAACTCATTGTGTATGCAGATGAGTATCAAAGCCAAGCCCATAAACTTGTTACGAATCACTCGTCATCCGAACTCGCCACACTATGGTGAACCCAGACTTATTCGACTAAATCTAGAATACTCCATCGACGTAGAAAACGTTTTGCTCTCCGCAAGCGCGCTAAAACACGAATCCTGTGCGATACGTATCTATCCTGATGTCCCTTGGAGCGCGCGACAATCAAAACGAACCACCGAAGAGGGGCACAGCAAGCAAGACCGCCTAAACACAGTCTTCATACATGGCGTGCCAGAACATCCTTCCAACGATGTTCAAGAGACCGGAAAGCACGATTTAGAACAGTGGCGGTTCATTCGCGAAACACTTTCTTTGGATGATGTTGTGGCACTATCGCTCACCAGGATACCTCTCTCACCAAATTATAGAGGATGCGGACCTAGAATCCTAAAACTCGTGGTTCAGTCAGAGCAACAAGCAAAGGATGTTTTGGATCGATGGCGAAGAAATCCGAAACATCTTCCTTCCGAAATTCGGTTAAAGGTCGCAAACAATTCGCACAGCTCAAGTATTAAAGCAACTGAAGCAGTAAGCATCCTGACGAATGTACAGAAGTGTAACTTGACGGCTGCTTTAATTGACTCTGAAATAGGTCTAAACGAAGGCTGGGACGCACCTTTGCCGAATCAAGTTGCAAACGAGGTATCATTGACCCATCAAAAAAACGAATAACTGCCGACCTCCCATCGGTCGGCATTCTCCCACACTTGACAGCTTCACCTCTCTGCGGGCTCCTAGAGACCGAGAAACTGGCCTGCTTGTATACAAATGCTCAGGGACTTTCTAACAAACTGGCTGAACTGAAAGATCGCCAAGCTTCCGGATCGTATGATGTCATGGGTTTCACCGAGACATGGTTGCACACGGGGATGACGGACGCAGAAGTTTCGCTACCCGGCATGTCGCTGATCCGGAACGACAGGCTCACAAAAGGAGGAGGGGTAATCCTGTACCACCGAAACGACTTACAGTGCGAAGCCGTGGAGGATTCAGATTCGCAGTTCCCCGACTCTCTTTGGTGCCGGTTGCAGTTAAAAGGCAAGGACGCTTGCCTTATTATCCTGGTGTACCGCGCCCCTAACTCAACATCCGAAACCGACTACCACCTAATGGCTGCTTTAAGGTGCAGTTTACAACAAAAGTACACTCACATTCTTATCATGGGTGATATCAACGTACATTGTTTAGAAGCCCCTGCTACAACCGGAGAACAATTCAAAACCGATTTACAAGATTTATTAACTATTGTGCCTCTTTACAACCACATCACTTTGCCCACTCGGTTCAGAACTGGTAACAGGCCATCTGTGTTGGATCTTGTGCTTACCAACGAGGAGCATATGATTGGTGCGTTGGTTTTAGACTGCCCGTTGGGTCGCAGTGATCACGCAGTCATCAGTTTCAACTTCGTCTGCTATGCAGAATATCGGAATGATAACGATGATACTGTGCGAACCATCACAAGGTACGACCGACTCGCCCAGCTAGTCAGCGCCACAACATGGTCTTTCCTCGAAGAAGAGCCCCCGGAAGTCGCCTGGCTCGAGTTCGTCAACACATTCAGTCAGCTGATAGCACAGGCTTCAGAGATAAAAGCTTGCAATAAGTGCAAATCCGTTTCTTTCGTTAAGAGCAAAACCCGAAAATGGATGACAGTACGCAACGCAGCATGGCGAGTGTACAGAGAAGCTCCAGCACCAGAAACTTGGGACAACTACGTAGCCCAACGTAACCACTGCACTCAACTGTTAAGAGAAGACAAAGCCGCCTATCAGCAGAACATCGCAAAAACCTGCAGTGCTAACCACAAACTGCTGTACAAGCACGTCAATAGCCTACGAAAGGTGAGGCAAGGATTTCCTCCACTCAGGACGGCTGATGGCCCAACAAGAACGTCTATGGAAGCTGCAAACGCGCTGCAGATGAACAATGAACAATGAATTTATACGGGTTAAGAAGCGTTGCTTTACAAGCCCCGTTGGATAGTTGGTGGGGATATCCACATAACAATTATGATGAAGAGGATAGTAAAATAGTTAACACTTTAAATACGAAAATAAGGACTTATCGTTTGCTTCGCTGCAGTCCTGCGATCCACTTAGATTCACAACACTCACAGGTAACAACAAATAATTCCAGGGTAAACTCCAGGTGTAGGATGGAGACATAGTGTTAAGTAACAAAGTGTAAGTGGATGAGTGCATCGTCCAACCGTCTTTTAAATATTGTTAGTGTCGGTGCAGAGACGACCGATTCTGGGAGAGCATTCCACGGGTGACAGACACGGATGGAAAAGAAATTTCTGCGGCACTCCAGACGACTGTATTGTTCTGCGAGTTTTAATGAGTGGCCCCTCAGGTTTGTATTGCTGCTGAGTTGCAGTAAAGGGCGGCACACATGATGTGGGTCTCGCAGAATCAAGTATGTCATAATCAGGTCGCCTCGTAGCCTGCGATAGCTTCCACTGAACAATCCTAGTCGTCGCAGCCTCTCCTGGTAGGACAGATTGCGCATTCCAGTTACGTTCTTAGATGCCCGGCGTTGAGGCTGCTCCAGTGCATTAAGGTCGTGTTTCAGCCATGGATGCCAGGCTTGAATTGCGTATTCGACATGGGGGCGAACATACGCACTGAGCATTTGTCGAAATATGGAGCTGTTTATTTGTCCAAACGCCCGCCTCAACAGCCCAACGTGTTGGTTCCCGGTCTTCGAGGCCTTTTCGGATTGCCTGGAGCAACCCAAGTCATCTTGAACCAGGACACCCAAGTCACGTTCGAGAGTTGATTGTTGCAGTACATCCGTTC